TTTCTACATTCTCTTTCTTTTTTAGTAGCTTCTAACACCGTTTGCACTTTTAGCAAATATTTAGAGCAAATATTTTCAAAGTCAAACTCGCAGTGTTGCCCACCTTTGTGTAAGAACACCCTGGGACTGATTTTCCCTGTGTGATTCACATTTTCATTTCCGTTTCATCTCCCAGAAATTCAGTTTTGCAAAGTCCTGACTTCATTAAACCAAGACTGACTTAGTACTCAAACTCTTATGCTGAATTATCTGTAGGCTGACGTCCTTTCCACTCCAGTTCTCTGCCCCCTCTCCTGGACTTTTAAGCATTACTTAGACAGCAGAAACTCTCTGGGACCCATACTTGGAGTCTTTTCTGTTAGGAAAATTTGCAGTTTCTGGCCTTTTTAAAATCTCTCCTTACTGCTTATGACTCCAGGAGAGAGACTTTCCATTTATGCTATTATCTGTATGAAGTTTAGGTAATGAAACTTGAAACTTTTTTGGAAGTTGAGCTACATTTTAGTATCAAAATAGCCCTGCTCTGCGTGCTTGCTTTATGCCTTCGTTGAAGGCTGCTGGCTTTGGGAAGTAGCTGTCCCTTGTGAAGGCAGGAGCTGGTTTTGTGTTCTGTTTGTCCTGAGGATTTTTTTCCTACAGCAGTGTTAGAGCAGCCACTGGTGCACCCTCGGGTAGTTTCTGAAATGATATGCATCATATTGGCATTTCTTTTTGTGTTACAGTGCTTGTTGTTTGGGAATTGCCGTTCTGCGGGGCTGGGTGGGTTTTTTGGTGCGCTCATTTCTGAGGGAGAATAGTCAGTGTTGCTGAAGGAAAGGTGTATTTCTCCATTTATTTTCTCAGTCATAGTTTTGCCTGGAAAAGCAGCTCAGATGTACTGTCTTGGACACCAATACGACTGAAAGAATGGAAGTACAGTTGTAAGATCCAGCAACTTTGATACAAGTTTTCATACATCCAAAATTAAGGTTCAGCGAATGAACCTTATCCAACCCATCGTAGTGTGGCAGTCACTTTAGTTTCAGAACTACAATCAGCATAAATATAAAAAGGGGTTTTTTTTAAGGTACTAATGGCATGCATATGCTAACTCATGCTCATTTAAGTATGTATAGAAATAATTTGGCTGACATCTGTGGCTTTCTTTAGATATAAATTTAACCTTGCCCTCTTTTAATCATCTCCAGCGTACAATCTTTGTAGCTTTATGTGATTTGTATATAAAAATCAGTTCCCAGGAGAGTCAGACTTTTTAAAGAGTAAGCAGAAGTGAACACTCAATTAACATCAGAAGAGGCTACGTTTTTGGAAACAATTTGTAAGTAAGTAGAGTTTAGTGGAAACAAAGAAATTGAAATCAGGTTTAGAGCTATTTTTGTACAATGAAGAAACTAAATGTCTTGTTCGAGGTCATAGTGGGTCTTCATTATATTACTTGAAACAAAGTTCTACAAATACCATTTAACACAAATCAGTCAAATCATTTACCACATGCCTTAAGAGATTTCTCTGTACTGGGCAGTATTATCCCTTCTACAGTTTGAAGAAGCATGATGGAGTATAGGAAATGCTCTTTTTCTGTAGGCTGTAGGAGAGTGCTGCAAGATTCTTGAGTGAAAGACCTGCTTTTCTGATATTCGGATCTCTCCCATTTCAGACTTAATTTATCATGTGATTAAACATCTAAAAAGTCCATATTATTAGTCCAGAAGCTTAGTATCAACATGCATTTTATTGGTAAGTCTCAGAACATCTGATCTAGGTCATAAAGTTAACTCTGTGGATTAGCAGCAGAGGATCAAAATACACCTCCTAATGTTGATTTTTTCCAAAGAAACTTCTTTTTGAAGAAGTGTGAGGAACTCTTATGACTTAAACTGGGGTTTTGTTGGAGTGCAGTTCTGCGGGTTCATTTTGGTGTCCAGGTGAGGCCGGTACGTGGGCGCATGGGCCACCACTGGTGGATGGTGCCTGGGTGACTTTGGATCGTGTGGTGGTCCTGTTACTCAGCTGCTGTTTCTCCTGTGGAGCTTTACAGCCTGGCCTACAAAATCCCTGGGTACTGAAGGATGCCAAGGTGGCTACGAGTATGGATTGAGTTGAAAAGCCAGAAATTGAATCTGCCTACTTAGTCTTACACCACTCTGTGTTCAGGAAGCTTTTTCCGTGAATTGGCTGACATCAGACTTGTATCATTTTTATGTTAGGTTCTGCAAGTTTTCTTAAAATCATTCTCTATGTGTGCTTTCGAGTCTTATACTGCTGAACTGTGAGCTATCAGCAGTACTGGTATTGCTCTTAGCAGGTCTTATGAATAAGGATGAGAACTGTAAAGAAGCACTGCGGTTATTGCTTTATTGTATGTGGTTCACAGTCCCTCTAAACAATTCTTTCTAACAGTTTGTTACATTCATGCATATTATATTGAGATTTTGAGCAGAAACTGCCTGCGAAACGATACTTGTGTATTTCTTTGAAATGGTTTTTAGTTCCTCTATATTGTTACGCTGCTGCATAATGATGTTTTGCCTATCTAGCTTTCAAGAGGGCTTCAGGGTTTTTTAGCTGTAACATTTGTTCCAACAGCCGCCTGGTTTTCTTCCTAAGAAGGACTTGTTGCTGTCAGGAGTTAAGCTCTTGCTGCACAGATATTTTCCTTAAACTCTGCAGAGAACTGTTGTTTATTTGTACTTTGGCTCTAGTCCAGTCTTATTCCTTGCATGCTGGTCGCGTTTGTGCATTGAGAAGCGTTCCTACAATGCTCTCTTGTCCAGCCAGACTTTAATGTACACAGGGGGGTTTTTCTGTCCTTAGCAGGATTTGGGTTAACTGAGTCCTGAAAGGTCTTGGTTCACAGCTTCTGTGTGTGCTGGCTACCATGACTCATCTGTTTTCTTTGAACTTTTGTTGTCACTCCTACATTTTACTTGTAGTTACCATTGTTTTTCCTCGTGTTTCCCACTGTACTTACACGTGGGTCCTGAATGCAAGAGCACAGTTGCTTTTTACCTCTGTCCCTGAGCAGTGAGAGGTAGGATGCAGGTGACATCGTGTGGATGTTAGAGTTTCTGTCTCACTGCTTTCTCTTCCCCTCAGAAGCTAGGATAGGGTAACACTTGTGTGGCACAGTGTGCAGCACAGGAAAATGCTGCCCTCGGCGGCAGCGCTGGTGTGCAGTCGCAGTATGAACAGGTAAGGAGCACTGCTGGCCGTGTGCAGTGAGTGGGCAGGGGTGGTGATTCAACACAAACTTGAGGCAGGTGAATTCCACCCCTCCTGCTCCACACCGCTCAGGAAAATCAATCTGGTAGTCTTGAACAGGAGCTTAATACAGTGGGATATTGGATCTGTTTGGTGTTAGGGGTTTTTTCTGACTCTTGGGGTTTTTTTATATTCTAGGATTACAAAGCTGATGAAGACCCTGCGTTATTCCAGTCGGTTAAGACGAAGAGAGGACCTCTGGGCCCAAATTGGAAGGTACTGAGAACTGATGTTACAACTTTATGAAGTCTTTATCAGCAAAAAACAAAGTTCACGGTTCCTTAGAGACCTGCACTAGCAATGTTAGTCTTAAAACAGAGGGCAGAAAGTGAGTAATACTTTTAAATTGTCACAGGGATTATTTTTGTAAACTGTGCTGCAAACGTGCATCCTGCCTCAGATGTCTGTTGTTCCTTCCTGCTCAGGAAGGAAGCAGGAGACTGCTGCAGGAATGGCCCTGAAGAAAGTGGGGAGTTACTGGTTTATTTTTTAGAAGCAGCTGTAAAATGAGGAGGAGAGCGTTGAACGCCTGGAGCTGGCAGCACTGCGTTTGTACGGTCCATTTAGCTCTGTCCATTAACCTGGACGTAGACGTGTGCTGTTTGGGGACACCAAGCAACAGCAGCACTTTGTTTTTTGCTGGTGAATAGACCATTGGTCTCCTGAGGATAACTGCTTTTCATTGAGGTGCTCTCTGGTGATGAGTATTTGTGATAGACATTCTGTGTTAAATAAACACACGTTATTCACCAAGTTTTTCATATGTTAGATACGTCTCACAGTCAGTCTTTTTACTGTGTGCATGGCCATCAGGAGTTGTCCATTGTCATGGTTCAAAGAATCACAGAATCCCAGACCGTTAGGGATTGGAAGGGACCTCAAAAGCTCATCCAGTCCAATCCCCCTGCCGGAGCAGGAACACCCAGATGAGGTTGCACAGGAAGGCGTCCAGGCGGGTTTTGAATGTCTGCAGAGAAGGAGACTCCACAACCTCTCTGGGCAGCCTGGGCCAGGGCTCTGTCACCCTCACTGAGAAGAAGTTTCTTCTCCAATTGAAGTGGAACCTCCTGTGTTCCAGTTTGTGTCCGTTACCCCTTGTCCTATCATTGTTTGTCACCGAGAAGAGCCTGGCTCCATCCTCGTGACACTCACCCTTTAAATATTTCTAAACATGAATGAGGTCTCCCCTCAGTCTCCTCTTCTGCAAACTAAAGAGCCCCAGCTCCCTCAGCCGCTCCTCATAAGGGAGATGCTCCACTCCCTCCATCATCTTTGTAGCCCTACGCTGGACTCTCTCCAGCAGTTCCTGTCCTTCTTGAACTGAGGGGCCCAGAACTGGACACAATATTCCAGATGTGGTCTCACCAGGGCAGAGTAGAGGGAGAGGAGAACCTCTCTGCCCTACAACCACCCCCCAAAAGAAATCGAGCTTTAAGATGCCATAAAGTATTTCTACTTAGAAAGTTGTTGCAGATACAAAGACTAAAAATCCGTGGATGTGTTATAGTAATCTCTTGTTTTTCAAGCCAAACACTCAGATTTTTTATTTTATTTTTAAGTGACTCTCAGCTTCCTGTTTTGGTTTGACTTTTTTTTTCCTTCTTCCTTATTTTTTTCTTCCTCTTTTATAAGGCTTGGAGTAACCTCACATGCTTTGTTAAACTAAAAACATGATATGGTCTCTTGTGTTACATAAATTTGACTGCATGAATTGTAGGAAAATCACCGTGTATGATCATACAGGTACTTCAAAATTGTTTGGGTGTAGGATCTCTAACAGAAACCTAGGAATTACAGGAAGTGGTGGCAGGTGAATCCTGAATTTCCCTCAGTTCATTCTTCTGGGGGTCAAAGTCCTTGAAGCGGAGCTTTAGTTGCTCTTATGGGCACTGATTGCTTCTGATGATAAAGAAGTTCTCTCCCTGTTTTTCTCAGGTTATAATTCCCTTTACACCACAGAGCCAAAAGTGAGCAATAATTTGGTGCTGGCTGTTGCAATCAAGCTTCATTGTCCTTTGAAAGTGTGTTACAGTGGAAATAATGGTAGTGAAATCAACGTTAAGGCTGAGATTTAGTGTATGTTTGCAGCATGGCTGGCATTGTCTTACAAATTTAACCTGATTATTTGTTAATCCTGAATTATAATTCTAATATAACACTTAGAAATCATCATTTCTAATAAATTAAATTGACCGAAGTAAGTTTTTAATGAAAAATAAAGATTCTTTGCCGTTATCCATTAACAGAAAGAGCTAGCGACTGATGAAGAATGTCCTAAAATGTGTGCTTACAAGTTGGTGACCATCAAATTTAAATGGTGGGGGCTGCAGAACAAAGTCGAAAACTTTATACAAAAGGTGAGCGCTTCTTGGCTGGGGGGGTTGGAGGTGGGCAGGGTGGTTCTGTGTGCGTGTGGGGTTTTGGGGGAGAAACAGCGATGCATTTTACTGTTGCTCACCGTCTGTTCGTTTGAATTCCTGCTCATTTCATGTTTCATTTGTATCTTGATCTGGTGTTTCAGTGGTGGTGCTCGAGTACCTTGCCAAGTTATAAAAGCAAAGGTACAAGCAAAAGAGTCTGTGCTCTGTAGGTTTAATGCTTGATCGCTTGGAAGCGAGGAAGAGAGGTCTTTGATTCATTTTTTTGCACATCAGATGCAGCTGGGATGCTGCTTTGCTACAAATGGCAAACGTGCCATCTTTGGAGTCAGAAGTACTTCCCTTTTTACTTCATTCTGGCTTTAGGAATTAGCCATTCTTGGTTTTTTAATGGTGAATACAGAACCTGCGGCAGTTCTGCTGTAGATTTTTATACAGTATAGAAAATCTGTATAGATTTTTATACAGCTCGTGCTGTTGCAGTGCTATATTTTTTTCTGTCTAGTGCTATCTTGGAGCTAGCACAGATTTTGAAAGGATTCTTCATCATTTTCAAGTAACGTGAATTGCTGAACTTTCTCCAAACTGTATTTTATAGTGAAATTTGTGGGGGTTTTTTTTCCATGTTAGAACATGTGAAAAATGAGATGACTTTAAATTAGATCCAGTAATGTCAGGGGGCTCAACCTGTAGCGAAGTGAAACAGCACGCACCTAAAGACGATAACTTTTCAAATTGAACAGCTGCAATCACTTCACCAGTCTCTGGCAGGGTGGAGGCTTATTATCCAATGTTTGTTTTTCTTCATAAAGCAAGAAAAAAGGATATTTACCAACTTTCATCGCCAGCTGTTCTGTTGGATTGACAAGTGGATTGAGCTGACTATGGAAGACATTAGGAGAATGGAGGATGAAACCCAGAAGGAGCTGGAAGCGGTAAGGATGCTTTATTAAGGTTGATGTTTCGGTGCTGTCGACCTCTAGGTTTATCTGTTTGGGAACCGACGCAAATCACGTTGTGTCTGTCCCCTTGTGTGCGCTTGGGCAATTCCTGATGAACATTACAGCCCCTTTAGTGATTCTCCTGTGCAGACCTGTGCACTTCAAGCTTCTGCATGCCGTGTTGTGTCCAGCTGGAGGAGACTGTCACGTCAATAGTTCTGATGTCCCTAAATCCAGAATGTCTGCCCTGACCACCCTTGATCTGTGGTACCATACCCATTGCACAAAGTCCCATTCAGTGTCTTTTTACCACTCGTCACTTGGAATTCAGAGCTGTCATCTTGCTTTTCCATCTTCTGTCTTGCTTTCTTTCATTTCTCATCATTAGATCTGGTTACTTTTTCTCTTCAAGCCAGCTTCTGTGGCACATGACAACCCAAATTAGAGCACCAAAAATGAGTTTACTTGCAAAAAGGAAGTTGGTAAAATGAACAGGCTTGAGTTAGTGTCGATTTTTGTGCTTTGGTGGCTGTGAGGACCAAACAAATACAGCCTGGCCTGTCTTTGGGCTGCTGTCTAGCAGGAAACTCATCCAGAGGGCACTTCTCTGCCCTTTCCTTCAAGAGGTAGGGAACATCACAGGCTGGGCAGGAAACCTTCTTCTGTAGTGTCTTTCCAGAGCATGACCTTTGCCATGAACACCTCTCACTTTAAATCCCACGGGTTTTTTAGGTTCTTTGCCGTCTTTGGCTTTGCAATTCTGTTTCCTTCCTATTTTACCAATTGCTTTATGCCCCAAACCCGTTCAGCTTCTCACTCCCATCGTCTTGGTTCTTTCAAGACACGATGTCTCTATGGCTATAACTTGCTTTTTTTGCATGGTTTAGCCCACTTCAGCTGCCAGACGTATTGACACAGACTGCCTGGTGCTCCAGCCCTGCTGTTGGCAGTGGTTCTGAAGCGCAGTTTGTGGTTGGTGCCTGGCACATCGTTTCTGTTAGTGTCAGAATGAGCTGTAACTCCTCCATCCCCACGGGTTATGCTCTTTGTGTTTGGACTTTGCGAGCTGAGTGGAGCCACCTTGTGCTGTGCAGGGATGTTTTCTGGGTTTGGAAGAAGTGTTTCTTCATCATTCTACATTAATAGGTAGATGTTCTGAGCTGGTGAAACCAAGCTTTCTTTTCAGATAAGCTGAAGGGTTTTTGTTGCTTCGGCAGTTCCCAGAATATGCTTTGGAAAAGAACAATGTTCACTCACTCTTGCAAACATTGTGCTCTCTCCTTGGCATTGGGGTGGTTTTGATTAAGGCAAGTGTTCTCTCAAACCACCTGGATTTCTTCTTTAATTCTGCTTTATGCCAGAACCTGTTCCTAGAGCCACCTACTCCTGGGTGTCTGAAGGAGGAAGAGTAACCACGTTCCTTCCTATAACCAATGTTTGTCAGAAGGGTTCTCTTTTGCACACCCGTAGTTCTTTCTTTGGAGTGAAAAGGACCCAAGTTCTCAGAGAAAGGATAGTGGCAGTGTGAGGAGTGCACACCAGGTTTGTATTGGAGCGAGCACGCAGCACATCTCTGTGCTTGAGGAAATTCCCCTTCTGTGTCACTGTGGGTGTTTATCTTCTTGTAGAGAAAGTTCTGTTCCACATTTCTCACTGGTAAGTAACTTCTTTTAAATAATTTTGGCAAAAGAGTTGCTGCCTTTTAGTTCTTACCATAAGCAAAACCCGGATCACACATTTCTGAGTGTGACATTTATCCTCGTTCTTTAATAGCAAACGTAATTATTTACTATTTTCTCTACTTTGCCAAGCAACGCAAAGAATTTATTTCAAATAGCTTGTTGTGTAAGACTCCAGCATCAGGAACTTAAGTGTGTTGCTTGTTGAAGAAGTCAGTATTTCACAAGATAGATGTATTGATTAGTGGCACTAACACAGCTTTTCTATGTGTACTGCGAAATGTGGGAGCAGTGGGGACCTACTGGTACAATATTTAGGTTTTTTCTTAACTCTAACAATAGGGGTATTTACAAACACCTATAAATGATGCCATTTCAATGTTTTTGTGGTGAAATGCCTTATTGGAGAATAAGCTAAAGGCAAAATTGTCACTGCCAAATAAAATCCGAACGCTCATTTTGTCCCAAATAATTTGGGTTTGTTTCCTATTCAACTGCTTCATCCACTGTGCTAAACAGTACCTTTCATTAAATCCCAAGTATACCACAACACATTGGTTTTGTGGCCAGGCCCTGTGGGAAGGGAGCACTCAGGTGCTGAAGGTGCCCAGAACGCCTTGGTGCTGCCATCCCTGCAGAGACATCGTCGGTTTTTGACGGTGCTGCACCAGGCACTTCTGCAGTGCTTGAAGCAAACCCCTGCATTTTCTAACATACAACTTTCTCTTCCTGTTCCCTCTCTCATTTACACCCTTTCTTCTTCCTGGTTTGAGCTGATCTTTCTCTTCGGATTCTGTGCACATTTCGGTTCTTTTGTTGGTCCTGTTCTTCATCTTCAGTCGATTTTTATAGTCAGGCTCTCTGCTTGTGTCACTTTTTTGTTACTCTCTGAATCCTCATCAGTGTTCTTCCAAAGTTTCTCTATCCCAGCCCATCTTTTCTCACTGTTTTTCTTTATCTTTCACTTGGTGGTTCATGTATCCGGCTCCTGGAGACGATGAGCACCTGTGCTTCGTTAAACACACACCACTTAATCAGCGCATAGCAGCAAAGCATCTGACCCTGCCAGGCGCTGTGACTGACCTCCCCCATGTCTTCCTGCGAGCAGAAATGCCACACTGGGTATTTTGAGCGCTGTGGCTCTGTGCTGAAGCACCATGGGCTGTTAAAACACTTAAAGAAGCATCGTTTACAGCTGCTGCATGGTTCCCAGGCTTCCTCACCAAACAGACACACTGCACTGTCTCCAAAACCCTGGTCCTGGCCAGGGAAAGCGGTCCTGCTCGTGTCGCTCGTTGTTCTCTTACTAACCAACAGCGCTAGGTGCTTTATGTGGTAGCTCACGGTTTTATTTTGCGTTTAGATGCGTAAGAAGGGTTCCGTTCGAGGCACTTTGGCTGCTGACGTCTAGAGGAGTTCTCTGTAGGTTCTGAGGCAAATCACGCTGTGTAAGTCAACTGCTGGTTGGAAAAGGAGGAAGGTGGTTAATGTTCTGATGGATGGGAATTGCTGGCAGAAATCATCGCGATGGGCCTATGTCCAGATAACGCTTCAGGCCTCGCCTCCCTCCTGTTGGATAACCCTGTGGTGATCAACAGGCAGAGATGCCCCGTGGTGTCCATGAGACCTCCACCGACAGGCGCTGTAATGGGCTGGGCGGGCGCCCCGTCCGGTGGCAGAACGCGCGAGGCCTCGGCCGCGTAACCCGGGTCTTTGTGCCCTCCTCGCACGGGAACCCACAGCGCGTGACCCGCCGTCACCGCTGCCGTGCTGGCACTGAGCTCTGAAGCCTGCAAGGAGCCCTTTGGGCACAAAGCTGAAAGTCAGGGAGCATCCTTTTGCTGCGCAGTCAGTAGCAAAGAGGTAATTTAGGGCAACTGTGGACTGCCACCTTAGCACGTTAAGTTCTTGAAACCCAGTTCCACGCGGATATTTACAAATACTAAATTGTGTTCAAACTGCTACTGCAGGAAACGGCTCGTCCGAGGGTCACAAGCGTCACAGTGTTTGTGTCCAGCGCTTTCCCGGTGGTGTTTCCCGCTGCGGCCGTTCTCACGCTGCCGGCGGGATCCCAGCCAAAGCCCTGCAAAACCCTGCCCATTGGAGTCGGGCTCCTCCCAGCCTGGAGCCGCTGCGCGCCAGGGAGGCCAGCCCCCAAATTGGGATTCCCCGACAAAGCCTTGCATGGCTTTGGTGTGATTTGCTCGGTCCTGGTGCTGTTTTGACCGCCCTGCCCTGTTTTTCTTGGAGGTTACTGGAAGCGCCTGTGTGGAGGAAGCCGCTAATCCTAAATTGTGTGTTTTCTTTCTCCGCAGTTACGTAACCAAGGCCAAGTCAGAGGAACAAGCGCTGCCAATGACGAATGATGAGGGATTTGGCCGTCACATGCAGTGTTGATATACAAATGTGTGTGTGGATGCATGATTATTTGTATATAATTATATATACGCACATGCATACTGAAGGGGGTTGTTACAGTGTCTCCAGGGTACTATACCTGTCCTCAGCAAAGATTCAAAGGAAACTGCTTTCATTCTGTATACCTGAAGCAAATAAAAATCAACTGAGTAGTGTCATTTAAAGGATGAATTAACTGCAGAATTATGCTAACTGGTATGTTTCATGAATGTCAATACTGGACCAACTTATTCCCTCCTTGTTTTTCTCCTGTCTCGAGTCACTCTGCTATAACTTGCCCATCTCTCATTGTAAAGAAACAGATTCGAAGAAGTTCGTTTCAGTTTTGTGTCTTCCCTATGTGATTATTTTTGGAATAGGAACAATGAATGTATTTATAGCTATTTATTTCTGGATCGTCATTATCCTCTAGGCAAATCAGAAAAAGAAAGAAAAAAATCTATTAGTGGAAATTGGAAGACTTTTACTGTTGAATAAGTTTAACCCAAACTTTACCCAGTCACTGATTTAAAAGGAAAAAGAAATACCGTGTTTTACTGGACTTTTGTACATTGAAATGCTAATGTTTTTTCTTCATTAAAATTGGCAAGATTAAGGAAAAATGGCTTGTGATTTATAAAATAATTCCAACTTGAGATTTTCCAGAAGCTGGCTTTTTAGACAAAGATCCTGACAGTACTTGCAGAATATTTCGAGTGTATCTCGGGCCGCGCAGTGGAAGTGAAGGGGGACGCCAGCCCCTTCCCTCAAGTACTGCTTCCTGCTAATGAAACCTCTGCTTTCCGGAGTTTCACTTTGGAAACTATGCAAATGGTCTTGATTTCACACACATTACGCAATGGAATATAATTGTGATTTTTTAGCTCTTTTCATGTTGAAAATACATTTTAAAAAAAGAGATGTATACTTTCAGATATGATGAAAGTTTAAATTGTAGCATCTGACTTATTTCTCTGATATTTGTTAGGAGTAGACACATGAAATAAAAGACGGTATAATAAAGACCTCCTGTAGATAGCTCTCGAGTAGGGAAAACGTCTTTGGCATTTTTTAAGGAAATATTCAGAGCATATCATAGATATATATTATCAAACTGCTTGCTAGATCAGAAACAAATTATTGTAAAGACACTAGTTAGATGAAGTTCTGTTAATGCCTGGTTTCCTCCCAGCATCCCCAGTAACCTCGGTGGGGCAAGCCTTGCTTAAGCTTCCATCTCCACCATCCCGCGCGCATCCCAGTGTTTTGGAGCCTCTTTGAAGGGCTCTGATCCCCCCGGAGCTGGGATCGCACCCGTGCCCTCCTGTGTCATTTCACCCTCCTTCTCCCCATGCTGCAAAATTCATTTTTTTATCGTTTTCCTAGCAGTTAAATGGTTATTTGTCCTCTGTACCATCAGGAGGTTGGGTTTGTAAATACGCATCGAGACACACGTACACGTCTGTGGTTTCACACGTGTGCGCGGCCGGGAGGGGACCCACGGGCTCCATTCCCTTCCCAGCGCTGGGTGCAAGCCCCACTGTCGTTAATGAGAATAACACAAACTGAGGGGAGGGCGCCCTGCAGCTTCCACGGGTTTGGACTAGTTGTGAAACTGAGAGAATCCTGTAGTGAATGTAAAATGTTTAGTTTACTTCGGCAGTCTCTGGTGTGACCTACAGTAAAACAGTCGATGACATTTAATTAAATAAATTTGCTCATAAAATGCTCTGTCTCTTGTCTCAGGTATCAGTATTTGTAGTTTGCTAATGAGCTGACATTTAGTTTGAGCTGTGAGGTGGCTGGGAGTGCTCTGCGGGGGCTGAGCTCAGTTGAGTGGGTGAACACTCAGAGCAAAGGGGACAGGAGCAGGGGCAGCTCATCCCATCCCAAGTGGGCACCGATGGGGCTGGGGGCTCGGGGGGTGTAGTTTTGGCTTGGGGTGCATTGGTGTTCCTGCCCGGCAGCGCTGGCCTCTCCTGCTGCAGCTCATGGGCCCTGGGAAGTTCCCAGGCCTCCAGATGAGAAGCAGCTCACTAACGCTGATTGATTTACCCAGGGAGGTGGTGGAGTCACCATCCCTGGATGTATTTAAAGAGCGGGTAGACGAGGTACTTAAGGATATGGTTTAGGGGGTAGACAGGAGCGGTTGGACGTGATGATCTCAGAGGGCTTTTCCAACCGAGCGATGATTCTGTGAAACCACTGCCCCATGGGATGAGAAATCCAGGAGGGGACCATGGGCTGCTGAAGCTGCTGGGCTTCAGAAACCACTCATAGTTTTTAAAAATGCACAATCATTGTTGAGTAGCACAGAGACCTCTCCCTGCCTGGTCAGGCCCCAGGGAGTGGTGCAAGAGCTACAGAGTGAACAGGACAAGGCTTTGTGCTGGGACCAAAGCTGGGCCTGGGCACCCCTCCCTGGCTTCACCTTCCTTACAAAGGAGCATTGCAGCACTGATCTGGTGTTTATGTCAATCATTTAAAACCAAACAGCTGGAGTGAGGAAGAGGTAGTCAGAATTGCAGCAGGAAAAAATACTCCATTCAACTTCCTGTGCAACCTCATCTGGGTGTTCCTGCTCCAGCAGGGGGATTGGACTGGATGAGCTTTGGAGGTCCCTTCCAATCCCTGACGTTCTGTGATTCTGTGATTCTGTAACTGAGAAATTACAGAAAGGCTTGAGAGCAATGGCTGCTTAGCGCAGGGTCTCTTTGCAGTTGTTACAGCAAACCGTGTAATTTTTCCTCTTGTTTTCTAAAGTGGGTGGTGGGGGTGCAGGGGGGGGCTCAGGCTGTGACCCCCAGCAGGGGTGGCTCCTGCTGAGGGGTGAGCGGAGGACGGCTGCCCTGTGCCCAGAGGGGTTTGGCACTGAGCTCCAGCCCCAAAGGGCCTTGCCTGCTCCGAGCTCGGTGACATCCAGGCGCTGCCATCAGGGCGCCGTGTTTTGGGCAGACACGTGGTGGTGGTGGCATTGTTCATGTGGCATTTTCATGGTGGAAGGCCCCGAGCGAAGAAACGCCGCCTCCTCGGGGTGTTTGGGCATTGAGGGTGGGCAGCGTTTCCCACACGCATGGGTTTGGGCCGCTCTCTGGGGCAATGCCTCCCTGGGAAACCACTTCCCTGAGGGGCTGTTTGGGGCAGCAGAGCCCTTGGTAGTCATGAACTTGCCCCCTCCAGTAGCCATGAACTGCCCCCCACAGCCCTGAACTGCCCATGGCGCTCCCTCTCCGTGAGCACGTTTCTGCCTGCTAAGATCGTGTAATTGCCTGCCATAAATTGAAACTTGTATGGCTCCTTTTGGTAAATGCAAAATTGAATTCTTTTTTTTTACTACACAGCTTGTTTAGCTTCCAGATGGCAAACCAACATGAAGTAATGGAAGTGCAACGTAGTTTTGTTATAATGGATATGTAAACGTGATATTTATTCACTGCAATAGACTGCTGTGAACCATATTCCAGCAGTAACCTTTTAAATCCATCACTTGGCTGCACATAAGTGTGGTCTGAAAGGGACTCGTAAGGAGACTCTGTTTTCCTGGAGGATTTTTTAAATCACTGAAAAGAAAGGGGAATGTTTTCTGTCTTTTGCCTTAATGTGTGCACTGGGAAATGTCAGAAAAAAAAAAATCTGATGAGATTTGTGTTTTGGGATTTGGGGTGTGTTGGGCTTTTCCACCCTAACGCCTCTGAGTGCTCTCTGAGCAGTCTGAAGATGTCTCTGCTAAGACAACTTACTATTAATTTCCCCAAACTCGGTTGATTCAGCCGTATTTAGGAGCTACACCAGATACTTGGAGCGCTCCTGCTCCTCTGTGCTGCACATCGCTGGCAGAGCGGGCACAGCCGTGGCCTCACCTGTCCCCGCTGTGCCAGGATTCCCAAATCCAGCATCGCCCCCTTCACCATGTCCATCACCCCCAAATCTGCGTTTCCAGAGGTGAGCACCCATGCACGAAGCAAGGTCGTTCCTCACTCTGTGGGACAACTCCTCCACCGTTTCTGTGAATAAATGGGGCAGCTTCACAGCCCAATTCACCTTCATGTGCAGGTGCTGAGGGCACTGAGGGAACCTCCCCATAGGTGCTGGGCCGTAGTGCCCGGGGCTGTGTCATTTCTCCCCATTTTTAGGTTTTTTTTGGCAGGTGAGGCCCATGTTGCTGGTGGCAGCTGCTGTGTCTCCTGCAGGGAAATGGCAGGACGCTGGCGCTTCCTTTGGCCGCTGCATTTATTTGGCAGGATCCAAGGCCAGGCACAGTTCGCACGGGGGCACCGGTGGCCTCCAGCTCTCGCGCAGATGGTGGTGGATGCTTTGCTCTGGTGCTTCGTGTCTGCGGTAACTACTGAAGTGACTGCAAAGCGAGAGACCCGAGTTAATGTTCTCATCAAATTCTTAATCAAAGTGAATGCTGAGCCTCACCAAACAGTGCTTCAGCGAGGCTGGTCCTCGGTGCACACGAGGGCTTTAGCAGAAATCGTGATTTTTGTAATGTGCTCTTGCAAAACCTCCATCACTGTCACTGCTCACAGGGCTGGGCCTTGACCCTGGCTTGGGGCTGCGGCCTAAAACAGGCACACGAGAGACGGGTGTGCTGGTAGAGTCCAAACCAGACAGAAAACCCCGTCATTTCATAAACTTCAGGAGAAAACAGCTCCAAGAGTGGCTGCCCTCTGACTGCCCCAGGTCCTGGGGTTCTTGTTCCTCCCTGTGTCTGACAGAACCCGGGCACCAGCACTGGGGCCTGCAGTGGCCTAGGGCCGTCATGGCTGACCAGGCCGGGGCTGAGGGGACACTGGGGGTGCGGGGATTCAGGGTTGGCTGCTGCGTCAGTGAAGGGGATTCAGGGACGGCTGCTGCGTCAGTGAATCTCCATTTATTATTTATTTTATAAAGTTTTTTCCCCAGGTGCTGTAAAGCTGTGTTTCAGAGGAAAACTCAGAGATTTTCCTGTAGGTGACCAGGCCGGTCACCTCTGAAGGATGCAGCCCCTGTTTTGATGTGGCAAAACCCCTGACAGCTGAGGGCAGGTATTTTGGGCTTGAGCCCTTTTGTGTCTTTGTCTGTTGACCTGCTTTTGGTGCTGCAGAGCTGCACCACTTTGGCGTTTCCTCTGCGATCTGATAAAACAGTGAAAAAGAAATGCCTGAGATGCCAGTGGTGACCGGGTATTGAGTTCTTGCTGCATTTCCTGCTGGTGTCAGCATCTCTGCGGTGTGAAATACTCTAAATAAAGATTTAGTAGGGCAACATGTTAAAAGGAACACAATTTTTAGTTGATATCACTCCTACACGCAGTTTAAACTCCAGTCTTGGTCTCATGGTTCCTGCAGTAGCTGCTCCCCTCCGCAACACGGGATCCCTGATCACCATCAACTGCAGCAAATCCTTCTTACCTGGCTGAGAATTTGCCAGCTTCCTTCAAAAGCACCTGTAGACACTGTTAATTAAAGTGGGATGTTTGCTAATTGCTTCTGCTTGAAAATAAGGACAAATAGGGGAATTAAAAGGAAAGCTGGATCCCAGATGCAGCACCTTTGTACAGCAGGGCATGATGGTGGTTGCTCCCAGGAGTGTTTGTGGTGCGTGGGTATTTTACTGCTGCAGTCCAATGCATTCTTTC